ATAATAAATCATAGTGACAGTGAATAAAGATCACATTGAATTCAACTAGGAAGTGTACACATCTAACCTCAATGTTCGAATCAATATAATAACAACTAGAAGCAAATCAATAACACCGAAAAAAAAAAAATCCTATCAAATAACAAATATCTAATGTTAATCCAAAAATAACTCACTAGCAATTCTAGTTAATAGAGAAACAGTGAACATTTCCCTGGAGGCATCCTATAACAAATTAAAATAAATCAAGCTGAAATGATAGAAAATAATTAAGTAAAAAAAATAATGAAATGTTATAAACCTTAATAAAGAAGATTCTAGAGATCCACACAAATCATCTTCTTCTTCCACCTCTTCCACGCAGGACATTGTTTGAGTATGTATGATGCCATCAGTATGTACAATACTGTCACTCTGTACCATTCCATCAGATTTCAGACTGGTTTCCGTTTGAACTTTTGTTGACAATAAGAGGTCAACTTGTGTTGTGTATTCCTGCATTCCAAAACTCTATGTCTATTAGCTGTGAGTTAGACACCCAACTCTTATTTATATAAATATCTGTATATCTATATAATATGTGGTGTTAATGAAAATGGAGATCTACAGCTGACAGCATTCTCACTACTATATCACTGATTGGCTAGTAGCTTGTTGGCTCGTGTAACAGCTTGATAATAACCTAGTTCATATTCCACACTTTATCCCGCTCATCATCAACAATCAACTTTAGTCTTTGAATCACTTGCTATATTGTGTAGTTTACCACTAACTGCTATCATGGTGAATGGAGAGACTATAGCCTACAGGTATCAAGTCAACTAACCCACCTAACGTTTAACAACCAATCATACTGACCTGCCTGACCTTATTACTTAAACCAGGTGACGTCACAATCAACGCAAATCTACTGTATCTGACCCAGGTTCATAACTCATCCACATTCACAAAACAATAACAATATGTTTATCTCTGAGCTTCAATAACAGAAAATTATTTCATCAAATACTAATCCACATGATACTCATATACATCATCAACTGATGTTAGATGTAATTGTGTAAACATGCAGAAAATTCTCGATTGAGAAATGATGTTTCAAATTCCATTATCATCAATTACGAAACAAAAGAACAACCCACATAATACCATTTACTTCCAATCAATTTCCTGAATTCATTGACTTAGATATACTGTTAAAGATACAGCCTTTATACACACAACATATTGGCCAATAGAGGGCAGTAAAATAAAACCTAATCAGAAGTGGCTACAGACAAATATAATGATAGTGGCAGAAGCGAGAGTGTTTAACCCATATATACACTAGCAATTGTTAATCTGGTAACTAATAAAAATCAATACAAGTTCAGAATGAGAGGAGAGCCTAAAAGAGTATGCTAAACTTGATTAAATAAAACAGTGTTGTTCTTGTAAATATCAACTTTAATACCATATTAGTTTTAACATTTAATATTTTAATATTATTCAAATATATTCGGAGTATTCTTTATCACTATGCAAAATACAGTTTTGCATTATTTACAACATAGGTCATTAAAGCTATATCCCTTTTGATGTTTGATGGTTAATAAATTTCTGCACTTTTAAACTTGCTCATTGCACACAGATTGAGAGAGCAAAAAATTTATAATTGATGTATTTCTGTAAAAAAATTTTATTTGAAAAATCAATTCAATGTTTACATCAGATACAACATGGCTGCAGGTGTCCAGACAGCATGCCGGCTGTTATTTATTTATGCTCTTTTAAAAGGGTGCAAAAAAGGTTTTCTAGACTAGCATTTTTGTAGGGACTCTTACAGCTTTTATTTGTGCCAATCCAATTTCCAATCTAAATTGATGCCCCTAATTATGTCAAGATACAAGCATGCTATGCAAATTAAGCACGCACAAGCCCCCAACCCGAAATCAAAAGCTAAAATTACGTAAGGCACTGGATTTATTAACTGAGTATCTCTTTTAGAGATTCAAGACACCTCATACATAGAATTTTTTATTTTAATTCCTTAAAGCAACTTATAAAAACCTTTCGGTTAAAACCGATTTCGCGCCATTTCCACTGCTCCAAAATGGTCAACTTAGCTGCCTTGCTTACATTCAAAGGATTAAACTACGTGATTAAATAAACCCAGTTCTTTAAAAACATTTGTATTATTTAATCTCTTCAATACATGCTCTTACAATCTTTCCGACTATTATATAGAATCAGTATTCAATTATCCTTTCTGATTACTAGCTAGCTTACTGTCTTGTGAAATTATCAATATGCTACTGTAAGCATCATTAATCAAAATGGCAAAGGTTGACTAGATATATTATATGGAGGGAGGAGGAAAATGTCCGTGATTTGATAATAACTATACATATATAAATAATATATCAAGACGGGTCGTATATATACACTGTACTTATTGATTTATTAATTATAACTCCAGTTTATCACTATACATTGTCAAGCAAGCAAATATATAGCGAATATTTCAGCCTCTCAGATCAATAAATTTCATTATTCTTCTGTTTTGTTTTATATTATTAACTATTGTTAATAGAGTAAATGATAGTTCTTAGACTCATACAAATTTCTTATCCAGTTTGAAGGCTTCCTATGGATATTCAATGATATAATTGCGTTATAACATAATCAGAAGGATTTTTTTTTTAAATTAATGCTTCATAAACAATTTTCCTATGACTTCAGTCTAGTACTCAATATGTCATCCCAAAAATGCAGAGAAACTTAAGAGGAGATACACCAGAAAACATTTTGGTCCATTTTTAGCATATTTAAAATTTGGTTTATAACAAAAAAGGTTTAATGGTAAGCATCATGGTCAAACTGCAAAGACATAAACCTTCCCTTACTTTAAATTAAGCAAAGTTAACAAATTGACAAAGGAGCTGAGCTAGGTTGTAAATATTTAAGTATAGACATTTGTAAGTATATTGTTGAGATCAACTAACATTATATAATAAAATAAGTCTATATATCAGTAACATGACAAATTAGGCCACCACCTCCCAACTTACAAAACAGTACAAGTCTTTTTACATCAAATTTGAAAGGTTAACAGTACTTTATTTCTAATGTTTTTTCTTTATGTGAAAACGTCTAGAAGTTTATAATGATACAATAACAACATAAAGTGTGAAATTGCAAGTCTATTCAAAGTGTGGATATATGGTTTTCAACTGGTTATATTCATGTTTAATCGTGTTGATAAAGATAGATTGTTGTCGCTTTGACAAACTTCACGCTATGAATGCAATGTGAACTACCATTGAGTTCAGTCTTTTGTTAGTTAACCAATGATGACATAACACTTGAAACACAAGATGCACAACATTTCTACATGTATAAACTTTACTTTTACCCTTTTTTACTCCATATTTTTTAAAACGTTACTCATATTTCTTACACTGTCAGCAATTTAAGATAGCCAATTAAACATGTAGGAATGTTTTTTCCTAACATTATTGTGTCCATGGCCAAATATGTTAAAATCTTGATATAGCAACAATAACAAGAATAAATTTCAAATACATATATGGTATAAGAAGCATACAAAGGCACTTGATTTTAATTTTTTTTCATAATAACCCCCACCTTTCCAATGGAATTAAAAGAATTAACTGATTCAAATCTCGCCGGATAAAAATCAAAATAGACACATACAAGTGTCTGTAATTACATAAGAAAAACTGCGCCAGACTTTAAAAATTTTTATTCCTGATTCTGATATATAAAATATCATCATAAATTAATCTAGAAAAATCTAAAAAAATCTTAGAGTTAATAATTAGTTTTACATTTCTTCTAGTGAATGAAAATCAGGCTTGAATGACACTATTATTGCAGCCTAGCCTTAGGTGGGGAATTGTGTAAGATCTATTTTACTCCCACATAATCTACACATCATTACAAACAATTTCACGAACAAGTATACCATTAATTAACACATGATATTCATAATAGTACAATCAATTAGAAAACAATGTATGATACTATCTCAAAAATCAGTTTTCACTAAACTATTTACAGGACATTTTGTGCCTTTTTTACTTGTTTTGTTTATGAAACTTTGAACTTTTAATTTCACACCTTTTTAGTTTTAACTTAGCGTCTACTAATAAACAGACTGAAGGAATGAACTATTCTGCATCCGAGTCAGTAAAAAAAAAAGTGCCAAGGATGGTGCAGGTGTTTAAGGACAGGGCAGTAACCTCTGCCAATTCTAGGAAAAGCCCTCTAAACATACTACATGCGAACAGCTCAATCCATGATAAAGAAATATTTCTACTTGATTGACAACTGTTATCATTAATATTATAAAGATAGACATGTTTTTAAACTCAATGCTGCAAACATTTACTTGTTGTGGCCTAGCATATTGCCATAATCTGGAGAATTCTTTAGTTTAAATCAAGGCAAGGACAAAAAGACAGCAAGAATGTAAACACACACAAAAATCAATAATAGAGAGGAGTTAGTTTCTCAATATCTATTAACATTAACTTGGTCTATTTCTGTCTTTATAGAAACTGAGATCTCTGTAACTAGTAATCCTACTTATCATCTCTTTACCTCCAATATCAACCTATATATAATCTTTCTTTCTTAATTATTTATCTTATTAATTATCTTGTTTCAAGATAAGATTACATTAATTAAAAAAAACTTTGAAAAAAATTTCAAATTGATATGACAATTGACTAAAATAAAATATGATAATCATTGTTAAAATAATAATTGATTTTAATGAATTCAGTCAATGAGATGCACATTTAACAGATAACCTTTCAACCAAATCAAACTCAAACAAAGCGCAAGTTACATTCTTGGCCCTGCAACATGGATAATTAACAGCAAGAATTTAGAGTTACTGCCCTTTAATCATTCTGCATGGTTTTTGTAGTCTGCTACACTGAAAATGGACTCCAGGTTAAACAGTACTTTGTAATAATGTACTACAAGGTTACTTACCCTGGATGAACAGGTGGCATTGGTTTTTGCATCTGAGGATGCATTCCTGGTGGTGGACCTTTCCCCAGATCGCTTGGTCGGTTCTTCTGATGCCTTAACAATAACAATCGACCAAGTTCCTCACACCAAGATGTCAATGAGCCTGTAATGAGAAAAAAATCATTCATTCAATTATCATTTACAGACAGAAAAAATCTAATTTCACTAGGTTTTGAAACCAGATCACATTTTTGGAAAATATTAACTCAAATTCAAATCAACTGCTAATGATCCAAAAAGATTCAAATAACATGGCTTAATTTAGTCAAACAAATACAGAATTCTAAAAATTTACGTTCCTATTGATTAAGAATATTTAAGCACTGTAATTTATACTTTTTACTTGACAGCATAGTGTTCAAAACCCATTAGGGCATTGTACAAGGTTTGTTTTCAAACTAGAATGGATTGAACACTGTAGCTAAGAATTAACTTTTCAATATTTTTGTACAAAATAAATCCATGTAGCTCTAATTTAATTTAAATCTTCAAATTTGAACAAAATATTTCTATATAGATAGTTCCTATATCAAAATGTACTTGTAACATGTAAAAGTGCAAGTTATATGCTATAAAAGAAAGTCTATTTTTTTCTGAACATTTTAATGTCTTAAAGTGTAGTTGGTGTATTGTGTCATGTTTAAAAGTTTTGTGATTAGGTTAGTTGTGAACAGAGGTTAGAAAAACTAAGTAACTATTTATTTTCACCCTATATCTATATGTACTGATGTGTGAGAAGTATTTGTATAATCAGTGGTCTACAACAATCCCAAACAAAGTAAAACCTACAAGCCAATTTACGGCCAATTTTATCACTTTAGCACACATGGTTCCCATATTATTTGCAGCAATGGAACAGTTGAAGGCTGGTAAAAGCTAAATATAGATTGTGATAACTGATATCAACCTCAACTATGTAATTGACTAAGCGCCCTATCTTGTACACCACTTGCCCACAGGCCATATTTTCCTTTGCCAAAATAAGATTTAAACATTTGCCGTTCTAACCTATAATCAATAATTAACTGTTAAAAGTTTCGATCACTAGGATAACCTACTTGTCCTAGTAATAGAACCGAAAATGGCCTCTTAGCCACTTGCCATAATAATTTGACTTGATGTCTTAGAATCTGTGTTAATACTACGGTCAGCTAAGCAAATATAATCAATAGACAATTTAACTGGTAGCGATAACAGTCGCTTTCCATCACTTAAATTATCACTTTTATTTCTCCACTGATCAATCTTATAGTTTAGTTGTTATACCAGAGACTACATCAAACACACAACAAATATCCTTATTAACTTTAACCACAAATATTTTATTCAATACCTTTAAAAGTCACAACTATACATCTAATATTTTCTAATGTCACTAATATTTTGAAAGAAAAAAGCTTTTGTTAATAAAGTCACCTACCATCTGGAAAGAGAAGGCAAAGCAGTACAAACAACTCACACCTGCCTTCCAAAAAATATAATGACTACTTTCAATTCAAGATTTTTGTTTGATAAATTTCTTTCAATAATTTGAAATTAAATTTAAATACATGTATTTCACAAGAAAAGCAAAATCATACAAAAATTTATCTACTCGGCAACAAAGCTAACAAATATGAATTGATCGACACAGTAAACATTTCACAAGTTCTGCCCAGTGACTTGCAAAATTATGAAAATTTTGCGGAGGATTTGCAAAGGATCATTTCTTGCAAATTTGATTTGCACAATTCGTCAAATCTTTACAGAAGATTCCAAATGCTTTTGTCTGACATGACTTGCAAAATTTGTCTAATTTAAAGAGATGTTTCTAAACACTTTTTGTCTAACATAACCTGAAAACTTTGTCAAACTTATATGACATGACTTGCAATAAAAGTCAAAATCCAGCAAAGTATTCTAACATGTCTGTCTGACATAAATAGCAAAACTCGTCAAATCAACAATAATAATATTCAGCCTTGATTAAAATCAATAAGAAGAGTAGAGTTTTCAATAATTACTGTGATAATTTGTTATATAGTAGAAACTGTAGCCAAGTATCGACTTGTCATCTATTATATATAGGATGATTATTTCTCACTTTTATATAATACTAGTCAATAATCAGATACTATAATCATCTTTCATATTTATACTCTTATCTTGCCTTCTTATCTCTCACACACTGTACGCTTTATCAGAAAATCTTCATAAAAAAAACTTATATAAAAACCTAATTAATTTCTATATACTATTAATAAATCAGCTTTATTTTATACTTTAATTGACTTCATGCTTGAAGATTTTCAACAACTAAAGTACCGAAGAATGTTTATCAAGACCTACTTCATTCATAGTGTGATAATATAAAGCTATTAATCACTTATCATATCAATCAATTTTAATTGATAAGTATATTAACAAGTAAAAGCCTTATGTGAAAAGGATTAGGATGAAAAAGCATGAATAAAGTAGCATGTCTATACAAATAATTTATTCAAAGTAATATAAATATATACCGTGAACTATCTAAGTATGAAATAGCTACCTTAATATTTCACAAAGCTTTAGGCCATTTCACCACAGTTGCTAACATATTTACACAATAAGTAACTTGTTCACAATTTACTTGAGGCTTTTATTCGGTTTATTTGGCGACACTAAAAAACTCTGCTTGGTTGACTAAAGACGCTATCATATACACTAAATTGAAAAGAGAACAATTTCCACATGAGTGAGCATGTTGAAGACGCCCCTTTAGAAAATTTTGGCAACAATCTTTATCAACAGAGTAATATAAACTAGTAGTTGTTCATATCCTTTATTCTGCATAAATATCAAGAATTTTTATCTATATTCAAATTGAATTTTCTCTATTATATTCTATAAATCCTTCTATTATTATACTGTACTTAATAAATCAGAAAAATAAATGTGGATTCTAAATACTTTTAAGTTCTAAGCTCTAATCAGCTATTCTATTAGCATTATTTTATAATCATTTTATTTCTGAAGTACCTCAGAACACCAATCAATGATGAAAATTTAATTAAAATTTATTCTATCAAATCAATAAATCAATATTTAAACAAATAAACGAACATCGATTATCGTTATATAACTGATATGATCATTTAATTCTCATCTAATTTGTTAAGTGACAAAAGTTATGTACTCAAGACATATAACGTGACAATCCTATGAATTGCCTATAAATAGAGCCAGTTAGTACTCAACAAAACTAAGAGTCACGCACATTGAAGTTAAAAGTAACAAAGACGGAGTAATGTTATAACAATTTTAACAAGAACTATGTCACAACACAGGTGTGCTCAGTAGACTAATCTCGAAATATTTACTATTATATTTCAAATCATATATTAATAATTCACCTCTATTCATAGCTATGATAAATTAAAACACTGATTTAATAATAATGCTTATATCAGATATTACATATCATTACAAATATCATTTCATGGTCATTTGAAATTTCTTATCTCAAGTTCTATTTATATCAAACATATCTATCTATGATTATTTTGTGGAAATACAAGGACACAAACTTTTCACAAGTTTATTTCTCGATTGGATTCGGCAGAACAATGAAATTTAATGCTAGTCTTATTAGCTTTGTAAAAATAGTTTATTCTTTAATAACAGTGGTTGAGAGTGGATACAAACCATACAGAGCCCTAAATTTTATGCCCTATTCTCACCCCTAATTCCCTAGTTAATGACTAGGGAATCTGAAAGTCTGGTTTGACACAGTTCAAACCATTCAGAGAACACCAAATGCAATCTATTGAATATTGATATAAAAATGGACAAGTGACAATGTCCAAGGTTCTATGTTTCAATTGTAAAATGAAGTTGAAAAAGTCTGTTTCCACCATTTGTTGTAAATGGAGAGTGCTAATCCTTAACCATAACTTGTCTATTACCAAAGATACCCAGTAACCTCTTTATACAAACTTGTCCGAGTTCCGCCCGATTTCTAACATCTCCACCTTGTTAGCCAACATATCATGTTTAAACACCCAGAGACACATACTATCTATTTGTCCACTGTTCATTTTAAACACTTTGTATCAGATACTACATTTTGTCTTTACCATCTCTATTTATCCATGTAATCATTTTCTCTATATTTCAACCCAAATTCACTTCATGACAATAAATCTCCAACAGGGTGGGGCACCTTTGGTTTAAAATACATATAATTTTCAAATAACCTTATTTCATGCTTAATAACAAAATTTCTATGAATAGCTATCTTATCAGATGATGCTGTACTTTGATGTTCAATTCTATAATTGTACATCATTATTCTATGTAGCATAATTATATACAAACTTTTATTTTCTTTGTTGAATTCAAAGCAGAAATCAAATTCAAAGCAGAAAGTTTTCAATCCTTTGACAACATAAAACCGCAAGTTAATGTTCACAATACTGTTATGTGTAGAAAGGAATATAAAGAGTTAAAGTGATTATTGATCTACGATTTGTATCCTGTATTATTTACAACATGAAATCCTATCTAGAACTGATGACATCATGTATTCATTATTAATACACTTGCCCTCTAAATACACCACCTAATCAATTTGATGACTAGCCAGCCACATTATTATTGAATTTTCTTTGTGTATTTGACAGAGCAACAAATTCATTGAGTAATGATCTGTTAATGCTACACAGCGTGCCTGGATTTAATCACTTAATAATTCATACACTTCAACAGTCCAAGTAGTGAGAAGTTGTGTTTATAGGGTATAAGATTAGAATACAGAAATCACTATCGACCATAATACTATAATCAAATATTCAATATGTATCATAGTGATATCACTCTTTCCTATCATTGAAAAATTAGTAAAAGGAAACCACAGGGCTGTGATTAAGTTAATAATCATTCAATCTTTTCTATTTGTCTGTCTTTAGCTTTACTAGAGGCCAATAACTACTTCTTCCTACCGGCATTTACCACTAATAATGATTTAATAGCGAGAAGAACATGAGTATTCAATTACTACAATGGATACATATAAATACAGAATGTGATCCAATGATTTTGAGAGGACAATAATGTTAAATATAGTCTGTAGTCAATTAACAA